GTAGAATTAAGGCAGTTCTTAAGGCGAAAGGGGGTCAAACACCGTATTAGTATGGTGTTCCTAATAATCCTTTAGGTGAGTGTATATGCTTTATGTTTCCTGAAAGTCCCATGTACACAACGGGTAAATATACAAACATACACAGAAAAACATTGCTTAAAATTAATACCAAAGTGGGCAAATAAAACAAATATGGTGTTTTTTTTACAGGATCTGTGTGAAACAGGGTGAAAAGCCCCTTGTCATACAATATTCATTGGCATCCATAATGTCACTTGGTGGGATTTGAATGGAGCCATGGAGAGACAGAGCTTCTCTCCATCCATCTCCAGTGCACTCCTCATTGGTCCCTTCTTTACACTCTTCTTTTGACTCCTTTCCCCTTCCTCCTCTTTCAATCAGGAACTTGTGCATGGCGGCCAATCGGGAGCCACATACCCCTGGCATCTGCCTCCCTGTCATCTAGAGAGAGGAGTGGTCTGGGGGGAGAGGGAGAGAAGAGGGAAAACAGAGCGAGGGGAGAGTAAGGGAGAGAGAGAAGGATAATTTTATTTAGAAGCCCACATTATTGAAGCAGTTTCAGTTCAGGTCAGTGAGCAGACTCACGCTACAGCACAGGCTCTAAAAAACACAAACAAAAGGGGAAAAGGTGGCAGGAAGAAATAAACCCAACAGAAGTAAATATAGTTAAAACAACAGCAAAAAAATAAATAAATAATCACCATTTTCATTGATGGCAGATAACACTCCATTAATCCCCCAGATCGCCACAAACACTGGTAAACGTCCAGCCTATAGTATGCACGTTCTACCCGAAGCCCTGCAGGTAGTCCTTGCACCATCGCAGCTGAATCCACTGCATCCTGCCCTGAATTCTGGTTCCTTCTAGTCTTCCAAATGTCTAACCTAGCTGTGCCAGACAAGAAATCAATGAAAACCAACACATATTTATGACTAATATTTTGGTCCCAAAATAAACTGTTAAAAGGATGACCTCTCACTAGGGCTGGACAATAATTCGATATCAATATATATCGCGATA